CCAAAGGGACAGTTTGGATTTCTCACACACACTCCCCTGTACCCAACCCCATCTCCAAATGTAAGGAGAAAATAACAATGGCGGCCATACATTACTATGCTAATTCAGGTTCCGTTTCAGAATATATGTTGCACTTCCCACACCAAAAAAGAAGTGCATCAAGTGAGGGAAGACACTATTTGATTTGGGTCCGCTTAACGTCAAATTGGCGTTAAGCTGGGGGCCAGCCATTGATGCTAAGAGATTGTTTAATTGCACTAAAATGAAAAGGTGGGAAGATGTACAAAGCGCCGCTGATCAGCCGCAAATAGCTCACCACTGGTGGCAAAAGCTCCCTCGAAACTTTTCGCCTTCGAAGAAGTGCCTATAATATATGAATTTCCTGGCTTTGGGGCTGCTCCCAAAGCCTATAATAGCTTTTGGCATCCCATTTTTAAAATCACTGCAACCACCACAATTTCAGTCGTTTTTTCCCCTAAACCATTTCGAAGTTGCGTGGCATTGTTAGGAAACGTTGCTGAGTCATCCTGGAATCGAAATAAGGATTGACGCTCACGAGGGGGAAGGCGTGGTCTGAGCTTGATGTAAATTTGACGTTGAGCGTACCAAATCAAAATATTGTCTTTCCTAAGTCTATGGGCCGGATGCACCGATTCATTGCTCTGTTAGACAAAAACCAAGAACTAGCGACTGGTGACACGGTTTCTGACTGGTCATACAAACTGCAAGGCACGGCAATCAAGCATTGGTGTCACCCAGCCATATGGGATGCTGTTCAGTGAACAGGCAATATTTTGTGCATGGGGTGCGATTGCCTGTGTTCCATGTTAGTGACAGATAGGGGCTCCAATTGCTGCCTTGTGGTGGGATTGCATTCAATTCACTGTGTGCAAATGTCTGCAAGACTTCAGTGTTAAGAAAATCCCCAACAATCTACTTTGGCATTGTCTTCAAGGAACGTGAGAACCCGGACAATTCCGTTTGAATTGAACTCATGCACAAACCAATAGTACACACAAACAAGCTTTGGGAACATTATGCTTGCGGTCCCTGCCCGAAATCCCAGCTTGGTGGAAGGGCTTGACTTATCATGTTGTGAAAAGTATGTAACCAATGGACCCACCAGCAGTTATGCACAGGCTGCCAGTCCCTGTTGTGCAACTCATCGCATCGTGGATCAATGTCCCTATGTACCCCATACGTATGGGATGTGAACAAATCTTACATGGATGCTGCTGCACCCATCATCGTCCTCGAAATTGCAAGGGGCTTCGTTTGCCACTGTGTTCTGGACAAACAAGATCCATGGAAGTCGCGCATGTGCGCGTACACTAAAGAACAGGAAGCCACGGTCTCAGCCTTGACCCCAAGGGAAAAGGACTCAGTGCTAAAGCCCAATAATTCCCAATCAGCGACCATCCTCACCTGCATAAGTGCCAAGGGTCAACATGATCAGCACTTGGTGACATCGCTTGGTCGATGCCGCAACCACAGACATCCAACTAACGCTGCGGTGCACCCTCAAGGGCAGGGCAAACAAACTACCACGCAAACTACTGCATAGTAACAAGACCACTGCATTGATGTAGTTTCACAACCGTCACAGCTGCTCTACCAACAGATCGCACAGGGCCAACAATCCAAAATCAGGCCTTCGTGGCTCCCTAATTCACCTTGAACCGTCTTGCGCCCTGCCATAAGGCGGATGTCTCTTGCTCTCTGATGGGAACCGACACACGCCCCCTTTGAAGCTGACCTCCCCACTTCGGAATGAAGCAAAGAACATCGGCCCTCAGACGTCGTTGATGGGTGCGCCACACCGTGCGTCTCACCGTAGATCCCCACCGCAGGTCTCCGCACTGGAGGGCGGGGGCCCGTCGCACCCAGCGCCGCGCATTCGACAACCGCCCGCGCACCGCGGGCTCGATCCAACCGTCGCAAATCGCCCCCGGCAAGCCACCAAAACAACACAGAAAGCCACCACCACCGTAAAAGCTCTTGCGTTGTCTGACGTGTTTGATTGCAACGAATCTTTGACTGTAACGAATCCCCGCAAAGACTGCTGGGCATCCAATGCAGAGTTGAAAACTAAAATCGCCGTGCCTCAATGCTCCACCACCTCGCCCGAGCCCCCCCATTCCTTGGGCAGGTCCACGTACTTTACCAGCCCGTCCCTCACGTCCACAGCGCGGTCCCCATAGTACAAATGCGACTGGCCTTCGAACTTCCACCCATGCAAAATCCGCGGAAAAAAACTCGCGAAGCCCGCCGCGGTGTTAAAATTCACAACCGGCGACCCACACGAGCCGCAGAAGCACCGATCGATCGCGGCAGTCCTGTTGTACGTCTTCATGCCGTCCCTGCCTTTCACAAAATCCACGTTGCGGTCGTCCGGGCCCGCCCACGGGAAGGCCACCACGGCGCACATGGGCGCGGAGTGATAGTCCTGGCAGATGGTGCAGTGGCAGTAGCCCTGCATCAGGGGCAGCACGCCGCTGATGCGCACCTCCACGGCGCCGCAGGGGCAGCCGCCGCTGCAGACGTCGCCGGAGGAGGCCATGGGGCGAACTGGCGGGCTCGGGAAAGGGAAGTCGTCGATGTCCTTAGGGCGTTTTTTAGGGTTTTGGACCATGTTGTCATCATCACGATTCTTGTCTGTGACCAAGGGGGGTGGTAGCAGGCAGGTTCCGGTTTTCCCCGAGCGAAGCCATGTCCAGGGTCTGTTCTTCGAAATCCCAACGTTGAACGCTGATGTGACACAACCATGACACACGGGCTAAATGGATTGCCTGACCGTAATGGTTGATGCCTAGGGGAGCAATGGCGCCCTGTGTGCATCTGTAAAAGCATCTTTATCGGTGGGTGCTATTGTCCCGGCGGTGCTATTCGGCTATTCGAATAGCTCCGCACGTCACAAAAACATCATGAACGGTTGGGGAGCAATAGCACCCCAATAGCACCGCCGATGCTATTCAGTGCCGAGCAGTGCTATTCTGGGCCCGTATAGCACCATTCGAGGCCAAATACCGTATTTACCCGGTATTAGTAGGCACCCCCTATTAGTATCCACCCCCCTCTTTGGGGTTCGAAACCACGTTAGTATCCATGACCCGGTGTTAGTATCCACCCCCAAACGCAAACAGAAACGAGCAAAGGCACGGATGGTGGCAAGGGAAGTCGGCAACTGGTGTTGGACCGCGTTGCCTAGATTAGACCAAACCGTGTTCCCTGCGATTCGCACATCGACGGGGACGATCGGGTCGGAGTGGATGGTGTCGATTGAGAATTTGAAAGAGGGCTTGGGAAGGGCCGCATGGTTGACTGGCCGCCGTTTGCGCTCTCAGCGCAGGATCGCAGGGCATCGACCGATGCCGTGGGGCCCAATCAAAGAAGCAGTCGAGAAATCAAGGCCACCTTGTTTCTGGATTGAGTTAACCTCTTCCCTGCCCGGCCAGTGTAGGTTCCGGCCTGCCGCCTGCCAAGGGCGCCCCAAGGCCCAGCGCCAGGAATGGGCAGGCGATGGCGTTGGTCGGGGCGGCTGCCGTTGTGAGATCCCACCTTTCAAAACTACCTACAAAGCACTGCCAAGGCCAGGCCCGTCCCCAACTCGCACATCGTACTAGCTACCAGGCCACAAACACAATCACAAATCACATCAGCCTTCCCAGCCGCCATCAGCCCCGCAAAGCGCTGCGTTTCAAGTTTATCGTTGCGACGTTGCGCCCCAGCGAGTTGAGACACATATCAATCCTCGTTCTTTGCATTGCAGAGGAAAACGCGCCTCAAGCATTCCAGGGAACCCCTATTGGCCCCAATCGCCAGTCGCCACCACCTGATGTAGCCCCCAAGTCAAGGCCGCCAGCTCCCGTCAAGGGGCTGACAACATTCCGCACTAGCATAGCCATTCTTGTCCATTTCTGGGCATTTCACAGCCTGTTTGTCAAAATTTTTCTCTGTCTGCTCTTTGGGATCAGGGGTCCAAACCGCGTTAGTATACATGGCCCACTATTAGTATCCACCGCTCAGTTTTGGGGTCCAACACCCGCCTACTAATACCGGGTAAATACGGTAGCACCCCAGAATAGCACCCTGTGCTATTCGCACAGAGCATTGAAGTGCTGCCACGATGCTATTGGGCGTAGGAATAGCACCCACCATTGAGGATGTGCGCAGGGGAGCGATAGCACCGGTGCTATTCAGCAAATGCCGCCTTAGCAAGGTGGCACGGCAGCCAATGAGAACTGTTCCTGGATAGCTCTGCCTGTGCAATAGCACCGACCGATAAACATGCTCTAACGGGGGGTGCTATTTGCCAGGGAACTCCAACACGACACTTGTTGTGCAAATAGCAACGGTGCCATTCTGGGGTGCTATTTGTCCTCGAGCGGTGCTATTCGGGGCCCAAATACACCGCTCGGCGCCAAATAGCATCGGGATGCTATTAGGCTCCCCAACCGTTAATGATGGTCTTTGACATGCAGTGCTATTCGGATAGCCGAATAGCACCGCTGGAACAACAGCACCCACCGATAAAGATGCTCTAAAGGGGCTTCGCTGTTAGGGATCTGTCTGTTTCTCCGTTGCCTCCAGCTCGTTCCCATACAGCCTCCATCAGGACAGCTTTCCCTGTGGCGAACCAGCCGGCGACCTATCAAAACCAATTAATTATTAGTGGCCCTTGGTGGCTTCCTTGATACGGTACACGACTGCAACGGCCGTGCGGGACAGTGGCGAGCCCCGCGCGGGTCAGTGACAACCTCCGGCTCCACCAGCATGGGTCACTGGCGACCAGCCACAATCATGTGTATCAGCGACAGCCAGCCACGAACATGTGGAAGGGGCTTCGTTTGTCCTGTGTTCTTGGCAAATGTTGCAAAAGGAATTCACACGCAACCATGCAGAACAGCGACAGCATGAGAGCGACATGCGCATCACTGATGGCTTGCAGCTACAAAGCCCTTCCAGTTCCCAGCAGGGACTGCAGCCTCTTTTTTGGCAGGCACGCTCTCTCCCTCATGTACACGCCCTGCTCCTCCGCTTGCTCCAGGGGTGTGGGGATCTTCTCCAGCGCCTCGAACAGGGCCTTGATCGTGTTGAAGCGGTTCTTCCTGCCCAGCACCTGCACGCCATCCACACGCACAACTCTCTGGGTGAATTGAATGACTTTGTGAACGAAGCAATCTTCCTTACCTTGATATGTAATATTTCCGGAACGAATGTTTTCGTATATGAAGCGAACATGCATACTACGTAGTACGAAGTACTGGGTCAGAGCAGAGATCTGCAAATGGCATAATGATCGCATACAGGCGGCTCTTCCTGGCCAATAACGAACTACCATCCCCCAGCATGACTGCGAAGTTCAGAGGCCAACTAAACGAACTACACGGAAGAGTTCGATCATTGTGCCAGTCAAGCCCACGGCTGCCTGTCAAGTCGCCTGTGGTATCTCAGGCAACAACAAGTGCAGTGGACGTGCAGTCCAGAGTCCAGTAGAAGATTCCTCCTCAGAGGATAACGATGTGCATCTCTGAACAACACAGCAGCACTCACTGCAGCAGTGCCTGTTCTGACACAGGTGTTTTGCAGCAGGGCTGCATCAATTGTTTCCTCTGTCCATTCAGATCAGAGCTCGTCCGCAAGCTGCACTGGAGTCTGTCTCAGCGTCTCTTCGATCCACGTCCTCATCTCAAGCGCGCACGTTCTACTGACAGGTTCCTCCCATCGCACAAAATGGCGAAAGCACATTCATGCATCTTCTTTCGATCTGATACAGTCAACCATTAGTCGTCCTCGAATGGATCTCTTCACTGGTGCTGTCCTTGTTGGTTTAAAGATGCAACACACATGTGGCTCACTTCGTCAGCTTATCAACTTGACAGAGGTCAAGCAGCTGCAAATTCATGCACAGGGGCAAGGGAAGACATCGTCAATAGCAACTTAACGGTGTGCCTGGCGACCTGTCGCTGCTGGGCTCAATGTGCAGAAGGCATACCTTGATGCTGACGTCCATGAGTCCGATGAGCTCGCACACTTGGAACAGCATGTCGTTGGCCACAACGCCAAAGCCCCGTGGCCGTGGCCAGAGCATAACCTGGTACAGTGCCAATGAGCAGGGTCGACAGCCCGCAAATGTAAACAAGCCACTGCGGATTATGAAGAACATTAGCAGAGTCATCTCAAAGCAACACTGTGGATGCAGTAACATGCATCATCGCCATTCGGGTCAAACGAAGTGTTTTGCCATTCCTAGGCAGATGCATCAAAAAGACAGCACTTGGGGGGAAATACTCACCTGCAAATGTGGCATCAAAACCATGGTGAGAACCACAATACTTTTATTAACCATTTCATCCGTCCAAGATTAATTGCCGTCCATTTGAAAGACAAAATTCGTTACAAGGACGGCCTCAAACTTACACAACAAGCTCACAAAATCGGAAAGATTGGGTTCCGAAACCTTAGCTAGCAATTTTCAAGAAGAAAGAATGAGACACGACCCCTTTGAGCATTAGGCAGAAGGTAAATCTTGGTTAATTTTGACACCAAATATCAACGTTTGCTAGGCTAAAAAACCCTTGATACAGAGTACTGCAAAATCCTCAATACTTCATCGATTGTCCTCAATTTTGAGAGTATGCTCCAACCTCACAAGCACAACTTTGGATAAAATTTCGTTGAAAACTGATGCAGGTACGATGGAGAAGTAATGCCCCAAAGTCATAAACGACAACTAATCTCGGACAGAGGAAGTATTTGCATTAAGAGCACATTGTTAGACACCATTATACAGTCGTCACTACACTCACTTATTTCCATTTGAACATGTGCAGATGCCGTGTTAAATGGGATTCCCTTGTCACTTCATATGGGGAAGGCTGGAAGAATCGATCCCACCCAAGCCAACCCACATTCAAGAAACGAGAGTCGAAAAGGCTGCTAACTACAGCACCAGCTGACTGCCCCAAGGCCTGCACCAAAGAGCATGTGGAGCCCAATGCTGGCACCCATACTCACTTTCGTTTCTGTCACTGTGGCCTCAGAGGGTGCATATATTGTGTGCTCCCGATACCGGGGGATGTAAATAAGGTCCTTCAGAGCCCTCCGTCGGGCCCTCTCCACAGCGCCATGGACTGTGGACGACTTGCCATATCCGTAGCCCACAAGACCCTGTGCAGAAAAGCATGGACAGCCTCTGAAAGCAGATTCCTTCTAGAACAACTGCACACATAGATGCACAACAGGAGCTACAACTGGGTGTTCCCAAATGGGCTCACCACACTTCTGGATCACGATGCTGTGTGCGAAGCAGCAGATTGAAGAAGTGACCAGTGCCATCACACAAGAATGCACTTGGGCAAACATATTGTACACACATGCGCATTGCACATTTATGCAAGAGCACACAGCAGCGCACCATAACCAGGACATTAGAATGCGCAAATGAGCTTTTGAACACTGACATGCTTCAAAGGCAGGCAGAAGTATCCAGTATGTGCAGCCCCAATCATCTGGTGAACATCACAGCCATCCATAAGGGCTACCTGTCTTTCAACATACCATGGAACGCCCGGGAGTTCACTTTGCATGAGACTTTGAGTGCACAGTTTCTTACCTAATTCCATGAACTGCTGGGTAGGCTCACTGTTTGTGGTGCACCAAAAACTGCACTTGAAAACACTGCCCAAAATTGGTTTGTGCCATGCACCAGCAACCAGTTAACGACTTGAAATGCTCAAAGGTTCAATTGCCCTTCCTGCTTCCACACCAGCTCGGTTTTGCTGGGAGACTTCTGCACAAGCCTCTGCAACACCGAAGAGAACTAAAGCTGCAATATTATGCAAAGTAGATTGCCATCCATGGATACTTTGAAACTGCAACATCATCGGCGTCGAATCGCGATTTCAGCCAGCGCACCTACCTTTAAATCCCCCACAACCATCATGGATCGGTATCGAGTGATCCTGCCTGATTTGACTGCCTTCTGTGATAGCCGGATGTCCACCAGGAAGTTGTACATGTGCTCCTCATCGACCAGGTCAGCACGGTCAAGGCCAGTGGGCTTTTCATCACCCAAGATCTTCGGCGACAGTAGGTCGCGAAGCAAGTGTCTAGGCAGCACAAGTTCTATCATTGAGATTCAACATTGCAACTGTTTTTCATCACTGTGCACTAGATCACTTCGAAGTTGCAGCTCTATCTTATGCCGCTGCGTCAGTGAGTGATGGCATGAAGTTACTTCTGTCAGGTCTATCAGGCCTATCCATTGCCATAAGAGTGGTGAGTTGCTGGCATCGGAATGGGGCCTGCTTGCTCAGACAACATGGAGGACAATGCAAAAGTGCATGTCTGCAATCGCAATAGCATGACTGCAACCCCATTGGCTCCAGCTATCAATCAAGCAAAATGTACTGGCCCTTCACCTCTGGGCAACGTCGGGCGAGCTACAAAAGCACAAAGTGTGTTCCTTGTCAAATTTGCCCCCAAGAATAACCCTACAACGCAGTATTCCACTTGGTGTCCCCAAGTGCAGTTTGGGCCAAAATTCACCTTCTCTGCCTGGCTGGCGCCTGCAAGAACTCCCTGAACATTTGGGCCCCGGTGTCCAGATCTTCCTCCACTTCTTCCTCCCGCTCACTCCCCACCCCACCTTCAGATCCCCCTCCATGTTCATCTGCCCCCTCCCCCCTCAGCAGCTCGCTTGTAACATAGCCATCCCGCCCCGTGTACTGATCCAACACACTCACGCTCTCATCATCATCGTCCCCATCCCCCTCACCATCGCCATCATCATCATCATCATCATCATCTTCCTCTTCTGCACCTCTAGAGGCCTCGGGTGAGTCTGGGGGGTGCAGCCCTTGAATTGCAGCAGCTGTGGCTTTGGGCATTGACCCTGGGACACATGGGGACAGGTATTAGCCAGGGCAGGCACCAGATTGGGTGCAGTACTGAATGCAACACCAGCACAGGAGCCAGACTTAATCCTGGTTGGCAACCAGCTTGTGAGCATTCCTATTGAGGAACAGCACCCAAACAAGACACCTATCATGGGTCTTTCCAAACTTTCCATAATCTCCTGCATCAAGGTTAACAAAGCACAATGGGGAATGAGCTTGCAAGTTGAGGACATAATACAGACTCACCAGGGAGGAAGACAATATGCTATTCACAGCCAAAGAGGCATGCATTCCAGGCAAACAAATTGCTAATACAACCCCTTTTTTCTTTGTCAAGCCACTCTTAAAACCTCTCAACACACTTGCATGGCTTGTCTTTCTTTGTACCACACTCTGTGCCGCAGGGCTTCCAACCAAACGTGGTACATCAGGTTTAGGTTGCCAGCTTTGCGAATCTGAACTACAACAATGGCCCATAGTCTTACATCGCATAGTGCTGTTTTGTATCATGGCAATAAGCCTGTGTCGCTTCCAGGAGAGACTAATTGCACCTCACTACCAGGAGAGCAAGATTTGTCTTCAATGGTTTCAACAGAAACGGTGGAATAGTTGCTTCTTGCCTGCAAGGCCAATGATACCATTCTAGAGTCTTGTCTGTTGTTGCACAACTGCTGGATGAGCGGTCAACATCAGCTTCTTCTTCCATGCACGTGTCAGCCTTGAGTGCCAGTAGTGACTGCAAAATGGCCCCGGCAACAGGTTTAACATTCTTATCAAGAATGTGGCCACCAGACCTGTGTGGCATGCCTTGCTGAGCGGATGAGAGGCAGAAAAGACATACTGACAAATCTCAAGCTTGGGTAGTGCGTTGACGACATCTCATGGGCATCTGTGCTTGATTGGCTAGCAACTGCACTCAAAAACAACTTGGGTGGTAGATGGTTCCCCTTAGTCATTGTTGGTGCCTCACATCAAGCACTCGGGGATGGGGGCCATTTCGAGATGGGGGACTGTCTCTCAACATCAGCAGCACCAGCCCAAGCAACTGAATCATCTGTGGAGTTGATTGGTGGAGTCAGGAACGACAATCCTGAGCTGGATGCTTCCAATGCCCATCAGCATTTCAAAATGCATACAGAGGTCATTTTTGGTGCGTGTTTCCAACAACAGCATCAATGGAATCCACCAGTAGCTGTCACACATTTGCCCATATGTTATTCCATCTTTGTTTGTTCTTCAGCATTGGCAGCAACAGTTTGAGTCTGTCCCACATTATGTGCTACCCACCTTCGAACCCATCTTCCCCGCTGCCCCCAACGTCAGCAAAGCACCTCGCTGGTGGCCGGCAGACCTCTTGCCGCGACCGCCACTCCACTTGTGGCCCATAAAAGCATGGCCCCTGGATGGATCTCCCTTGTGGGCTGACTGGGGGCTGCAGAGCTTGCGACAATGTCACAAGTGGGGCATAGCAGATCTGCAAGAGAATTGGCACAAGAGGTAAGTCATGCCATTGTCTCCCTGTATGGGACCAATCGACTACAGGAGGTGAAGTGCCGAAAGGAACAAAGAATGTAGGTTTACAAAGACTTGGTTGTCATTCTGACTTGAGGGTTAAAGGTCAAGGCCCCAACCCCATTTCACACGTTCACAATTGGGAAATAAAAAACATTCAATCATCGGACATCACCCTCTAGAGTAATTTTGGTAAGATCTTCCACACAACAGATGCGTTTGATGTTTATGGATGCATTTAAATGCATCAGGAAGGAATTGGGGAAAGGGCACGCCAGTGATCGACTTTATTGTGCAAACTGCTGCTGCATTAGAAGGCGTCACTGCTTGCTGTGACAATACAGAGGGTCCCACCCACCCCCAGATTGTGACGGTCTTCATTTTGCGCGAATGACCAATGTGTAGATTTCTTGCAATGTACCCAATCCTCTGCGTGCAGTTGTGTTTCTAACAGATTTCCCAGAATCGGCAAGCAGTGCTCCTGCACCCTTGAGGCGATAATGAGCATCCGTTCCAAACCTAGCAAATCATTTGTTTGCTTCGGCAAGCAATGCCAATCAGGCGATCTCCATCTTGAAACTCTTCAAGGGACAGTCTCTGTTGACGAATGCTATCACAGACGCTCACATTAACATGCAAGCGGCACACGCACTCAGTCTAAGCTCGCGAAAGGCTGGGCGCGCTTCTCGGTCAGGCTGGTAAGGCAACCCCCTTTCATGCCACCGATCAGCCCACAGCGCAATGATCGTCAATCGCCAGCGTTGGCAGCGACAGGGTTCTATAGAGCCGTGCCATGAACAGGCCATTCCCATACCACCAAGCTGCAGGTCCCGCCGCCTGGCGCGTGCCTGGGCGCTCACAAAGGCTAGATCGGGAATTGAGACGGTGATCGCCACCCATCGCAAACAAACACCGCGATGACTACACGCGCCTTTCCAGAGTGAAAATGGCGCCCCTGCGCCTGCAGGCGGTTCCGAACATTCACGCATCTGCAATGCGTATTTTGCCCCATTGGTTTTCGGGTTCCGAATCGGCGCCGAATCGCGCGGGCACATGCAGGGGTCAACTCGGCTGAGACCCAAGCAAGGCGCCGAGAGCGTGGGGATAGGCATCTGACGCGGTAGTCACCTTTTGCGTCGGGCTTGTCCAAAGGACACGCGCGAGGGCGCTCAGCCCACGACGGCCGAAGCGCTCCATGGCCATCTCGCCCCCGCGCCAAGCACCTGCCAATTTGCGCGATTTCCAATCCACTTGTGCTTTCGGAACGTCCAAAAACCTTACGGATTATTGGAAACCAGTCCAGAAGTCGGGCCTTCGGCCCCGACGTTCTGCACTTTTTCGTTCCTGCTTTATCCATTAAAAGCCCGCTCACTCGGTGGCTGGGCTGCGCAGTTGATGTTTTGTGTTGGACGACAATTGTGCTTTGATTGCTGTGTCCCTTGCCACCATCACTGTCCCCACGGCTGCGCAGCACCGCCGTGTGAGTTTGCTCCCACTATGCTGCAAGGGGAGTCCTTGTCGGGGGCTGCAACTTCGACCGTTGAGCTCTGGGACTCGAGCCATTGCCGCTGCGGCCATCGGCGCTTGTGATGGCCGGCATCGCCGCTGCGACGACGCGGGATCGCTTCCCACTATCGCAATGCACAACTCCGCACCTCGAAAGCTATTGCTGGCTTCGGCGAGGCCTCTGCCGGTTTCACCCACCACCATCGGCATCGCATGCCATCTCCACGGGCGTGATTCGCAAGCCATCGCCGCGGCCGCATTGCCCTCAATCGACCCAAAAGCGCAATCGACACTAACGGCACGTGATTGGCGCACACCGCGCGCTGTGATCGTAACGGCGGAGGTCCACGCCCCACCTCGTGCTCGCGCTCAAGATTCCCACCCGGCCCGGGTGGGAATCTCACCCCCGCTCCGCTTTCCAGAACTTCACCCCAGGGCCCGCGGGCCCCGAGAGTTTGGCTTCGAGGGGCGCGCTGATTGCATCCGCTGCCGCGGTCGCCGTGCCAATGGTTGCCACAGCATAGCGCTGGAAGGCTCTGGAGTCGCTCCGCGGCCCGACTGGAACCCTTACGGGAACGGCAACTCCGAGCCGCGAGTTTGGGCGTGGGCCGTCGCCGTTGTGACGATCGGAGCCGGCGATGGCCGTCATTGCCGCCGCGACGACGCGGGATCGCACCGTGAGACGGCGCATCGAGCGCAAGGGCAAGGGCGCACGGCGCGCCGGAGCCGCGGCACCGATAGCCGCGCGCCTCCCGTCGGCCGCCCTCAAGCGCAGCCACCGGCGCCACCCGGGAACGCATAAGCCCACAGCACCCGACTCGGAGAGCACCGCCACTCACGTAACCCCCATGTCACAGGGGTCGATTCTTACACAAGAACGCTGAGTCAGACTTTAAAAAATGCATTTCCGGGGCGCGAAAATTCATTTCCGGGGCGCGAAAATGAATTTCCGGGGCGCTCTTAGCCGCGTTCCCAGCTTATAATATTAGACCAGTCCAGAAGTCGGGCCTTCGGCCCCGACGTTCTGCACTTTTTCGTTCCTATGCTATCTATTCAAAGCCAGTGACTCGCTGGCCAGGCTGGGCTGTGCTGTTGCGTTCATGTTGTGCATTCCCTGTCGATTTGCTCATCACGTTCTTTGCTATGTCCCTTGCCACCATTCCTGCGCCGAGGGCTGCACAGCACCGGCGCGTGAGTTTGCTCCCGCTATGCTGCACGGGGAGTCCTTGTCGTGGGCTACAACTTCGACCGTCGAGCTCTGGGCCTCGAGCCATCGCCGCTGCGGCCATCGGCGCTGGCGATGGCCGTCAACGCCAGCGCGACGACGCGAGATCGCGTCCCACTATCGCAACGCACAGCTCCGCACCTCGAGAGACGGCGCTGGGTTCGGCGAGGCCTCTACCGGGATCGCCCACCACCATCGCCATCGCATGCCATCGCCACGGGCGCGATTCGCAAGCCATCACCGCAGCCGCATTGCCCTCAATCGACCCAAAAGCGCATTCGACACACTCACGGCCCATAATTGACGCACACCGCGCGTTGTGATTGCGAGGGCGGAGGTCCATGTCCCAACCCGTACTCGCGCTCAAGCACGCCCCACGAACCGTGTGGGAGCCGCACGCCCGCTCTCCGCTTTCCAAAACTTTGCTCAAGGGCCCGGGGGCCCCGAAAGCTTGGCCTTGAGGGGCGCGCTGATTGCATCCGGTGCCGCGGTCGCTGCGCCGATGCCTGCCACAGCAGAGCGCTGGAAGGCTCTGGAGTGCCTCCGCGGCCCGACCGGCACCCTCGCAGGAACGGCGACGCCGAGCCGCGCGTTTAGGCGCTGGCCATCGCCGCTGTGGCGATCGGCACCTGCGATGGCCTCCATTGCCGCCGCGACGACGCGGGATCGCGCCGGATACAGCACGCCTCGAGCGCAAGCGTGCACGGCGCGCGGCAGCCACGGCACCGATAGCCGCGCGCCCGCCGTCGGCCGCTCTCGAGCGCAGCCACCGGCGCCACCCGGGAACGCATATGCCCACGGCACCCGACTCGGAGAGCCCCGCCACTCACGTAACCCCCCTGTCACAGGGGCCGATTCTTACACAAGAACGCTGAGTCAGCCTTCAAAAAATTCATTTCCGGGACGCGGAAATCCATTTCCGGGGCGCGGAAATTCATTTCCGGGGCGCTCTTAGCCGCGTTGCCAGCTTATAATATTAGATCCCTTAATTCTTGATTTTTTTTCAGAAATCTCTTGTGTTCCAGTGGAGATTTAGGAATGGCCTGAAGCTGGGTCCCTTTCTCTACAATGCACCACACGGCAAATCCAAGCGATTTCATTTGCTGTCGATGACGATTCCCCGAGGTGGATTATTTTGGCGAGGAACGCCACGATCCTCGCAAAGCATCCTACACAATTCTGAGACGTCAGCAACGTCCAGAAATTTCCCACGAATGGTGTAGACTGCAGGCCAGCTACACCTGAGACGGAAAATTACCACTTCCACCCTACAAACCCAACACACAGGGTGCTTCAAACCCCGGGTGCTGACAGAATGAGCACCTCTGGCGCCAATCCGCCTCCTCATGCGCCCAGCAACAAGCAAAATGGCCACTCTTTAAGCTTAAACATAATATGTTCCCGGAAAAGCAAAAAAAGGCCCGGTTGTCGAAGAAGAAAACGCCTCCGCCTGCCAAATCTCCAGCTCCTTGCGACCAACCAAAAATCACTTGGGGCACCCCTCGTCAGCGCGGGGCCCATAACGTAAGCTTCCTTTTTCATTCCCCACTTCCAACACCCTTTCAGCAACACTGGTAGCAGCAAGTGCCGTAAGATACTTGATCCTAATACCACTCTTCCCAGAAGTGGTTGGTCTTCTTCAGTTGTTCAAGGCGCCCCCAACATGCCAAAAAAAGTTGCGGTTCCCGAAGAAAAAAACGTCTCCGTCTCCCAATCTGTCACTGCCCACGGCCCTGCCGTCCGCACTGCCACCCTTGCCACGCCTGGGCCCCTTCCCTTCGTCACCGTGGCCCCCGCAAGATGTCCGACGCACCCCCGGAGACCCAGGCACCGCCGGCCGACCCCTCCAGCGCGCCCTCCACGCCCGCGGCGTCCGGCATGGCGCCCGCGGCCGAGGCCGACCTCCCGGCGGGGGCCCAAAGAGAAGGCGACACGTACGGACTGGTGCGGCCGGCGCGAGATCGATCGGTCGCGATCGCGGCGACCCTCGCGTGGCGTTCGTTTGTGGGGGCTTCGGGTGAACGCGCGTGGTCCCGGACGTGAACCTGAGACGTTTTCTGTTGTTGGCGCATGGTTTTTTTGGCCAAGGCATGGAAGGTGGCGTGCGCATTTTGTCAAAACACCAAGTGGTGGAAACCTTCTGCTGCTGCTGCTGCTTCGCTAGCGTCGCTTTTTAAGTTCATTTTGGCTCTTCTGGGGCGGAATTGTGCCTTGCGCGTCGAGCGCTTGGCCTAGGGCGGCAGCGGGGAGAGAGTTCGTGGTTTGGTTGTCTGCCTGTTGCTCTTGTGTGATGATGTGTTGCTGCTCTCCTTTGATTGATCGCGTTGCCTGTAGGAGTGTGTGTAGGGTCAGGTGTGTGGGGGCAAGGGGGCAGGGACCGGCGGATGTGGTTGATGGATGTGGGTGTATTATGGCCGGATTGTGCCATTTGTTGGTAGTTCAATTGATCGTGTGTGTCCAAAAGGCGTGGCGAACAAAGCCCTTGCCAAGCTGGGCATATCAAGATGCCGGTCACTTCCGTTCCAATTCAGGAATTTGGTGTGCTGTTTTGGACAGATTTTGCCGTTTGGGCGGGTAAAGAGGTTGATGAAGCAGGAGGGGAATGTGAAGGCAGTTACTGGAGAGGCGAGCTACCTTGTCGCACGAGCAGCGGTGCGTTGGTCTTGTTGCCACTTTCGTTTCTCTTGGCGCATCCATTTGTTGTCTGTATGATTACGATAGAAAGGGGTGAAAGGGGTGCATGTCAACAAGCGCCCTCTTGAAGGAACGTGCCCGGTGATTAAATTGTCTCAAGGGAAATGAGTCTTGGTGGAGTTGGGCGATGGACTATGACACTGTGCCGACAAGGAAACCTTTGTATTGGGTTTTCCAATCTCCACCAGGCATGCACTTGTTCAGGCGTCCAATATGGCAGCATCTTTCAGAACGAGCTGTGCCTATTAGGTTTGTCAACAATGATGTTGAGTATTGGATAAATGCTGTTGATTAGGGATACACATGAAACAGATCAATCTGTTGCCTTTCTTTTGGAGGAGTTGCAGTGCCTGCAATGATTGCTGCAGAAACTGTGGAATGCTGAAAATGCTGTTCTTGTGCACTTCAAGAAAATGTCATAGTGTGCCTGCCACAGGAACTGTTTCTGGACAGACTGGCCGAGAGGGGTGGGAGGTTGATGGCAGCAGACAATCGCAAGGTGCTGCTGTACAAGGACGTGGGTGCGTGCATTCGAGTGCCAGCTTGCTAGTGTCCTTTTTGATATGTCCATTTCCTTGCACACATGTGCATATACTTATGCACACTCACATACTTCGAAGTATAAATGTATATGTACATACATGTATACATATGTACATATATACATGGACACATATCTATGCATGTCCATTCATGGATTGTATTATCCAGAAGCCCTTGCTCCTTTCAGGCTATGATGGGCATAGAAATTTCCAATCAATGGTTGTCATCGTCTCCAGATCATAAATTTTCACACTGTTGTTTGTTCACAGCACCTGGTGTCAAGGAATAATGTGCAGCCCTTCCACACTGAGTGCTGTTGGTTGGCCAGTGTCAGCACCAATACTGGACAAGGACCACACTGGCGTCTCTGGCTTTTTTCCAGGGTGCTTGACTGCTGACTATGCGTTCCAGTGCACCATGAGGCCCTGAGAAGCCACATGTATTCCTGCAGTTTTCAGCATGAGCCAAATTATTAGTTTGTGTTTTAATCATGTGCATTGGACAAGTTTTGTGATTCCTGTACACTTCAGGGCTTGGATTAGATTGGTTTTGACAACATGGGTGCACAATACTTCATCCGTCCAAGATTAATTGTCATCTATTTGAATAAGAAATTTCGTGATGAAAATGCCATCTGAATTTGAAAGGGAGGCCAGAGTCAGAGAGTTTGGGGTGCACAAGCCTTAGGTTCCAATTTTCAAGATCAAAGAGTCGACCGTCACCCCCTGTGAGCAGCATCATGAAATTGCCCTGGGTCGGTTCCAACAAGGCCCGTTCAGACTCCGCGTTCCCGGGTAACCCCTCAATTCTGGGCTGCTCTTGAACTTGCAAGCAGTGACGACAGTCGTCGCCACTGTCGCAGTGAAGGGGAGCATCCAGCACACGTCATAGCACTTGCCAAACCCACTCGACGGTGCTTGGATCCTTCTTGAGTGTGGCCATTGCCATGGCAACAAAGATGCTAGAAATCTGCGATGTTCTCGATCTCCAATGCGTGGACCTTTGTTGAGTGAAAAAGGCCAATGTCCAAGACATGAAGGCTGGCTCGAGTGCAGGCCATCTCTCCAAGGTTGCTTTGTAGCCTTACTTGGATGCTTTGCCTCGATTGATGCTAGAATTGAGGCTTTTGTTTGCATCTCAGCCAAGAATCCACAAATGGCCCGTAGTGGCCAATTCCTGCGCCCGGTACACAATCCATCACAGCCCATTGAGTCTCGACTGCTCCAAAGGACTCGACATTGCCCTTATAGCCATTCTCCCAGCTCCCAATCCTTTCAAGAGCCGAACCAAGGCCAACTGGCGATTACCGTCAGAATGGCCAATTCATTACTTGTCCGCGATTGATTGGGGTGATGGTCATCACCTTGTCTTGCACCTTGTCAAAGGATTGGGAGATCTCTTGTAGTTGCCCTAATGGCAGCGATGGAGACCGCAAAGTCCTGGCCCAGAATTCTGGGCCTGGATCATTGCTTCGATCCGTTAGATCAAGCTTGAAATTCTAGCCATAAGCCCCGCGAGTTTGAAGGTTTCAAAACGTGTTTTCTATTGTTGTAGCTCTTTGCAAGCACCGTGGTGACCTTCCCTCTGGATGGCATGGATAGTTCTGCGTGGGCGGCTTTGTTTTGCTGCCACAAAGGTGTGCTCCTCAAAATAGCACAAAACGGCCGTTTTCGCCGCCAGAGGACCCCTGCTACAAAGTGCTGCCAAATCTTCAATATTTAATGGATTATCTGAATTTTGATAGCATACTCCAACCTCATAAGCACAAGTGTGGGTGAAATTTTATTGGAAAATAATGTCGAAGGATGGAGAAGGAATGCCCCAAAGTCATAGACAACAATTAATCTTGGATGGAGGAAGTATATTCTACCTTTCAGTTGAGCAATTGTAGGTGGGCTGGATTCAGAAGGACAAGTTATAAAGAAATCATGATTTGTGCAGCAACAATGGCAAAACCCACCAGTTGAATTACTTTCCCTGAATATGGATGTTTGGACAGTGGCGAAATTGAGAGCCGGGCAAGCTTATGAGTGGTATTGTTTGATACACTGATGAGTCAAGTATGCTGTATGTGTCTTGATGTTGTGTTGTTTCCTTGTGAAATCTGACATGTGTGCGTTCAGTTTACCTCTCACATTGCCTGGCAGGCTACTTGCCAAGATCTGAGTGTGGTTTGAGCACTGTTGTCAATGGCCCTTGTAAGCTTGTGTTTGGTTGGTCAGCAAGAACCTTCGATAGCATGCCCACAGGATAGAAATAGGTGGAAGGCTAGTTTGCAAGCCAGCTGCACAGCATGCCCGCCAAAACAAGGAATCTGTGCAGCTTTGGATGCAGAAAACTGAATATGATCAACGTAGTAATTCTATTCGTGTACCAGCAACAAACACAGAATGACATCGTTGTGTGTCGGCATCAGCTCAGACAGTACAGTCTTGGGAGCCACTGGAGTTCCTTAAAGGTGGGTCCCTTCACACCAAACACTGGATTGTGAGTGGGTACATGAGGATGACATTTGTTTTCTAACGTTGCCCCTGCCACTTCTTTGCACCATTTGGGACTGCTGGATCAAATCGTTAGTTAGGTAGGTAAAGTAGGTACGTAAGACGTGCTGAGATTTTGAATCGATGCATCGCGCACAGGTTCAACAAATGCCTTGCATCTTGTGGGCAATAGGGCCAATCAGTGCTGTTATGTATGCAACGTTCTTTTATCTTTCATCTGCCCGAGGCCAAGTTTGCACTGGCTGTCACGTTCATTTCAAAGTGTAGTGTTCCAGCAGTACATCAATGGTGATGCCCTTCATGGCTTTGAACTTCCAGGCTTGAAGATGCTTGTGCAATCGACTGAACAAACATTCCTTATGCTACGTGCAGAGCAGCTGAAATTCCTGGATGAGGCACATCATTGACTTGTCGATGCAACAAACAGGTCAATTATAGGCACATCTGAGCGCATGCTCTGTTGAAGTTTGGCAATCAGATTGCTCTTCTTAATTGTGTAGCAGCATGTGGTGTTGTGTGCATTCGATGCAGATATTGTCCCAATGAAGGTTTCGGCAGCGACTCTGCTTCAGCAAGCCTCTAAACAAGGGCAGAATGGTGAGACGCACTACACAATGGTCTTCTCAAGTCCCCTACCAAACCTACATCTGCACTCACTCCTGCAGCGCTTGCCACAGCTTTGGTATTGCTTCCATGCTGTCAGACAGTGAGACACCCCAGGCATTTGCAAGGCAGCGAAGTTGTGTCCACAACCTGAGGTGTCATGCTATATGTTCAGCCATTTTATGCACAATCCACCATTGGTTCTGTCTATCGGAGTTGGCAATACACTGCTGTGCAAGGCAATAATGTGCTTTCTTAGTTTCTGAGAATTTGGTCCAAGGTTACATGGTCATCAGGGCACCAGCATGCCAGCCCCAAAGTCAAAGCACTTTGCCGATTGCCACATCATCCTTCTGCTGTGGCATGTTTAATTCTGCAACCGATCCTTTGATCGCAGTTGTCAATGGTCACAGTGCCTTGCCCTTTGCTGTCAAAGCCATGGTGGGCACATCGTCCAGATGTGACCACAGCAGGATCCACACAGTCTGTTCCACGATGCCAATTGTATTTTCTCATGCAAGGTTCACTATCGAACTCTGTTGTGGACACAGGGATGGAGACAGAGGGGGGCGATCCCATGTCGTCCTAGCTGCAAACCAGAACACTACAATTGCCAGTATGGCCCACTGTTGGCGCTTTGGCTGCCATAAGCGACCCAATCGCAAGAGTGCCAGAAGCCGGATCACATGTCATCATGGCCTTGGATTTCTGTCCTAATGCTTGGATCCAAAGCCCAGCCCAGGTACCTGGCTTGTAGAATGACCCTCAAGTTTGTAGACATTGTGTGGTAGCATCTCGAAGGGGCTACCAGGGAAGACATGTGGACATGGATGATGGGACGCTGCTCATACGAGGTACTGCGGAACTGTGAAAGAAAACTAACTGGAGGGCCGTGGTAGCCTGGGCTGTTCCCCCCATCCAGGACTGGATGCCCACACAGCAATGCCCGACAGGGGGGAAATGAGCAGCGAAATTGTATTTGTTTTAATTACGGTGTGCATGAGATTCCAAACGTTCCTTCTATGCTGTGTGCGAACGCCTGATGTGAAGTCCATAAGCACAGGCTGTTGGTGGGATCTGGGCACATTTTTGACTCCCATGTGCGTCCGTTCTGAAGCACATGGTGCAAAAGACCGTGCAGTGGCATGAAAACACAACGGGTCGAGGACATCCCCCTCATGGTGAGAGTTTTCAAACTCTTGTCTGCACTGAGAGATGCTGGAGAACTGGCCGAGTGTGAAAAGAGCTGCCTGCCGCTTCCGCAGCTTTTCTGGCGAAGTGGGCGTGAGGAAATGTGCCTTGCAGTCCTTTGGACTTGCACACACTATGCCAAAATGTGTTGCACACGATGTTGCTTGATGCGTCTGTGCATACCGGGCACAATGCAACTTGCATGGGAGTTCGTACTTCCACACTTTGAAAACGGCCCCTCTCAACCAGAGCAATCCCTGTGTGCATTTGAAGGTGGAGACGGGCGTGTGAGCGCTTTGAAGCATAGTTTTGGATCAATGCGTGGTGCCAGAATGGTTGCCAGGTTCATCGGCAGAAGCGCAGGGCCGGCATGGGTTGGCCACTGACTGCCATATTTCCTGTTCGTTTCATCCAAGCGCTCTATCCGGAAGATTAATTGTGGATGGGAATGCGCTGGCAATGAAGGCCATGACGTTGGGACGTGCAACGACAGTGCTGGGTGCTGCGTTTTGGTAAAGATTGTGACATGGATGGGCTCGAATTTTTTCCATCCACCAGTGATAAACGTCCCCATTTGAAGAAGATGGGGACATCCAACGCGCAGCGGCATCCCCAGGCTTCTCCTGCGGCAAGCACCCTTGCTGGCAGAGCGCGGCCTGCCAAAGTCACCTCTTCTTCTTCTTCTTGTCGCCGGAAATGATGTTTTCGATGCCGTAGTGCGGAGGGTAGGACGGCAGCCTGGCGAGGCCTCCGGTGCTTTTCTTTGCGCCATTCTTCTTCCCCTTTCCCGCCTTCTTCTCCTTTCCCTTCTCCTTGGCGGATTTGCCCTTTTTCCCGGCCTTGTCGCCTCCTTTCTTCGCAGCCCCTCTGTCTTTTGCGGGCTGCACTTTGGCCTGGGCGCCTTGGGGCCCCCCAGGCCTGTGCTCCTGGCTTGGCGGTACGGCCTGGTGGGTGCAAATCCCCATTGAATGCGTTTGCCACACCACAACAAGTGCAAATAGACCTAAGCACATGCACGTGTAATTACAAATTGCTGCCCTGCAGAGGCACTGTAGCGTGTCGAGCCCTCAGCAGGCACCGGCACAATGATGTCGTCTGGTTGGTTAACTAATGGCAATGGTAGTTTAGCGACGAAAACAAGACTTAAACGCTGCACTGTGCTTCAAGCGCATAAGAGCTGTGCACTGTACAGTGTTGTCCACATGCACAACATGTTGTCCACTTGCCGCACGGCCAGCAGTGCCTAATCAGTCGAAGTCGCGCGGAGCTTCGCCAGAAATTTACAAAACAATTGTACCCAAAATACCAACTGAAGTACATACCCAATGCACATGTAACGTACAACTACAGCTCTTTGAGAAGTGCCCACGAACAAAAGATGACAGTAATGGTAGCAAAACACAATTGCATACCAAAATAGAGCAACGACGCAGTGCGATCAGGATTGGTTTTTGCGCTTATGTTTTTATGCGAAAAAACCGTAAATTTGCGAAAGAGGCTATTCTTACAGCAATTTTTTCGTTTTTACGGCTCGTTGAGACACCCAGGTGGCACGATGAAAGCTGCATACAATGATCAGTCCTCCATCATCTCCAGGACACACAACACAGTGCCCAGCTCGCCATTGGCAAGGGCAACGACAGCATGGAAACAAAATTCGTTTTCTAAAGCTTGCAAAAGTTCGTTGTCCAGCGCATCTGTCTGCCACTACCCAGACTCTCCAAGTCTGTGTGTACTATCCCTATGTACACGGGGCTGTATTTATGTTGTATTTACGTATTTTTACGTGTTGTTAAGCATAAAAGCTATTTTTGTGTAGAAACGCAAATACGTTCAGTTTTTACGGCGTAAAAGGCAAGCCTGAGTATAATGGTTCCATCGTGCCGGCTAAGCACCGTGCCCCAATTGGGCCACCCCTTGCAAGGTGTTGTGTCATCTCAGTGCACTGGCCAGGCCAGAATCGAATCATGGCTGGATGGGCGCCATCACCCAGAGACCCCCGTCGCACCCGTTTCAAGAACCTTGCCAGCTTCTCGGGCACGCCGCCGCCCGCCACAAGGCCCTCCTTTTCCGGGTGCTCCACGCGGTGGGTGGAGGGGCCGATGCGCAGGGCGCGGGACAGGTTGCAGATGCAGGTGGCCACGCGGGGGTCGTCGTC